GGGACATGACGGCTGGCTTGATTTGAAGACTTTTGTCAAACTCATCCCTGTTCCTGATGGAGCTCCAAGGCTAGATCAACCTTGGACCACAACCATTCCGGCTTCCTACGGTGGCTGCCGATAGCGGCTTCCCGTGCCTTTTCTACCTTAGGCTTCAGCGCGGTGCACTTTTCCAGCTCATCCAACAGGTGATCAAACAAGGTTGTTTCCCTGGGTTGTTCTGCCACGGGGATTGCGGTCAGCACGTAAACGTACTTCTCCCGAAAGGCATCCAAGTCAGCAAGGGACGGACCTGCAAGAGACAACTTTATCAAGTTACGACCTCCTAAGGTTCCGATCCTACCTCGTTCCAACTGGAAGTGCTTGAAGATGGCGCGCAACATGATTCTCCCTACGGGCATCCCACCTGACGAGATTCTCTCTTGTTCAACCATGTTTTGAAACAAGAGCCCGAACTTACCTTTGCGGCAGGTCTTAAGGAGCTTTGCGGCTACTTCACGATCTAGACGTGGGAAACGCTTGTCCGCGATGAGTTCTTGCTCGGTGGAGGACATGCATGCTTGGGCCCACTGGTAAACTTCATCTCCGGGGGTCTTCTGGAGTCGACCGATGGCCATCAAAACTTGGTTGACGAAACCTCTAGCCTGACCAGCGTTCTCCGGAGGGGATGGTAGTACAAGATCCTTGAGATCCTTGACACGGACAACGGACTCCTCATATGCGGCGTGATCTACGGCGGTCATGCCTGCACTGGGATCGGCAGCTTGAGACGGGTCTGCATTGGGGAACTGGCCAGAGCCTCCCCCACCTCCCCCACCACCATTCATGGTGAGGTATGGGCATTCCGTGTCTTCATGGCTGCCGCCGCAAACTCGACATTGTGGGGCATCATCATCTCCATCGGAGTCTGATGATGAGTCGGAGCTTGCGGCCGATGGCGCTTGTGGGGATGACGAGTACAACCCTCCCAACATTGTGATTGGTACTGGCGGAACACGAGTGCCATTGCCAGCTTTTGGCGGAGGCGGCGCCCCTGCGAGGGGCGTGGGAGGCACTGGAGGTGGTGCGGCCGGAGGCGGAGGTGGCGGAGCCACTTGATTAGCAACCAATTGGGAAAGCTGCTGAACCATTCCGCTAAAGCCGTCACTTGCACTCTCACATCGGCTTGATCCCTTGTACCGTCTCTACCCAACCCGCTAGTCCTCGACGCGCCGGGGGCTGCGTCTCCAACAGAGGACGCTGCTCCTAGCACTGCCGAATGGCCTGCGAGATGTTGACTTGTTGCACCCCCACCAGGGTCCCTTGAATCAGCTGGGGCATCGTGACCAAGTCCTGAACTTTGAACAGAACCACACGGAGGGTCGGGGATAGTACTTGTAACAGCATTCCCTTGCGACGATGCGGCAACACCGGAGGCATCTTGTGAATCTGAAACCTGAGGTGCTCCAACCGGCTGATGGGTTCCTGGGGGAACGGTGCCCTGACTTGAGGCTTTAGCCGCGCTTGATTCCGTAGCTGTTTCGGCTATTGATGCGGCTTTTGGCGGGGACTCTTGAATCGGAACAGGGGTCGCACGAGCTTGTTGGGTGAGGTGTGCAACAACACGTTCGAGATCACCAAGTCGTTGATGCATCAACAATGCGTTGAACCTCTTGCTGAGCGTCCTGTTGAGTGGCATTAACAACCTGTCGTGCGTTCTCGACATGGCCAATGGCTTCCTGTCGTGTCTGCTCGATTAGTTGCCTAGCCTGAGCCTCACTCTGTTGTGCTGTTTGTACAGCCTGCTGCGCTTGCGAAGCTAGCTGAGCGGCCTGAACCCTAACATCTGACACTTCTCTTACAGCCCTTTCCCTGATCCATCCGGCCTCTTGTCTCGCCTGGTCGGCGGCCTGCTGTTGGTGCAAGGCGTGATTGGCTGCCTGGGCAGCGAGGTCGGATGCTCGATGAGCTTGCTGCACCGCAGCTCCAGCAATAAATGCCGCAGCCGGTACGTTAGTCATCGGGTCGGGTACTTGCGATCCCTGTGAAGGGAACTGAATGGCTGGGGAAGCTTCGGATGATGTAGGTTCTGACACGATCGGACCACTTGGGGGCGATCGTGTTTGGGCTGCTCGTTGAGGTGTGGATGTGCGAACTGTGGACATAGCTGGAGGAACCATGGCTAAGTCAGGGTCATCCGGTTCAGAATCCCTATTTGGGGTTGGGTTCTGAGGGCGGTGATAAGCCCGTTGAAGCCATGACACAGCAATGCAATTTTGCACTCACACGAAGCTAGCTCCACGCTTTGAGCAGCGTGTCAAAAGGTGCTACGAGGAGATATCCCTGGATTGGCAGCTGGTTGCGAAACGCTCAAGTGAGCCACTCAAGAAAATACGCCCTGCTGCTTTGCACCTGATGAATTCTGTATTTGTACTTGCACTTGTAGATTGATTGATCCGCCCTGCCGCACTATGGTGCTTTATCGAAGGATGTTGCCAAGCTGTGTTGAGAATAGTCTGCAAATCGAATGCCTGTAGCTGCAAAGATGCTGTACCGCGCAAAGCGACGGTTTTAACGGCTTGCAAAGAAAGGCTATCGAAGTACCCGACTAGCGGGCAACTGGGATGCAGACCGATGGAGCTCCTCGAGGTACTGCGAAGGGTGCAGGCCCCTTGCCGCCGGAATGAAAAGTCGATTCCGGGACTCGATGTACTCCCCAACGTTCTCAAGCGCGTTGGCAAATCCGCTCGGCCCAAAATGCGGGAAGTTGCGGAACGCTGCGATGCCTGTCTTCTGCGCTTCACGGACGATCGCAGCTGTATCGTCGATGAGGACGTGGGCACCCAGCCCCAAGAGGGCGTCTGCTTTGCCGCCCCTGCCCAACCGCTCGTGTACGATTTTTATCGCAGAGAAAGTGAGTCCAGCTGTCGCCCGCGCGTGCTCCAGGGCGACCTGGAACTCGCGGCGGCGAAACTCGCTTGCAGCCCTGCCCACGAAGGATAGCACCACAAAATTGATAGGTGCGTAGTCGGCTGCAAATTGAACGAGATGCCGGATCACCTCCGGGTTGAGGTGGGGTCCCTGCTGCCCAACGTCAAGAACTCCGTGCCAGTCAAGAGCGATGGTGAGCTCCTTGGGCGGCACTGGCCTTGTAGGCGGCGCAGGAGGCGCAGGCGGCGGCCTTCTTGGCGGCGATCGAAAGCGTATGCCAGCCTCGAAGTTGCAGCTCTTGCAGCAGCTGCTTTAACGACCTGCGGCGGTGGCGGCTTGACGAAGTACCCTTGTGGTGGGTTTGAGCCCGATTTGCTTCTGGGTTCGGCCTTGTTCAAACCTCGCGGAGGCGCCTTGTACCCGAATGCACTCTGAGTCCGAATAGGAGACCTTGCTCGAGGCGGTGATTTCCTTGGAATATCTGCTTTTGCCGGTACCGAAGAAGCTGCACGAGGAAGTTCCTTGGGCAATGGAGGCTTGCTGCCAAAAATGACCTTTGGTGCGGCCTTTGGTGGCGGGGGTTGAATTGCTCCCAATCCTCCGGCTATGCAAAATAGGCTCAGTGTGAGTCGGTGCCTCGTATACGCGCCGAGGCACGTAAGCTGACCTGCCAGTTCTGAGGGATTCCGCGTCCTGCGGAGGCTCCTCTTCTGAGCTGTAGGCGTCGAGACGATAGTGCTCCGCTGGTCCTGGGCGTCGATCTGGAGATCGTGATCGCGAGGTTGTGGATGATGTTCTTGGGGGATCTCTCCACGTCTCGTCCGCAAGCGAATACGGGTCAGCCTGACGGAGATGTCCGGATGTCCGCTGTGCTCGGCGGTGAGATGTCGCCTCACGTGGCTGTGAAGCCTCCCGAACGAGTACCCAAGTGCCGTGCTCGTCAAATCGTGTCACAGGGTATATACTGTTCTGTGGAGCCAATACGATGGGCCGTGTGGCAAGGGAAGTCCTGGATGGTCTGCCCTCCCGCGCAAGCGCGGGTTCAACACTGTGTGCCCGATGTTCCACAGGGGTGGCAGCAGTCGGTCTTCGTCTCGGAGGCGATGGAGACCTCGACCTTCGTGGCGATGGGGACCTCGATCTTTGTGGCGACCGTTCCCTGCTGCTCTCCCGCCGCGCTTCCGCAGCTCTAGCGTACACCCCTCGAAGCGCTGTCTTGGCGGCACCCCGCAACACTTGTCTTTCCTCTGCTGATGGTCGGATCCGAGGCAATGGGGTGCGTGAATCTTGTAGCCAGGATGAAGCTGAAGGAGGCGTCGGAGGGCGTAGCCAATCCGCTGCACTGCTTGCTGCTTCCGCCGCGCCAGAGGCTGCGGCTCTATCCTGAGATTGCACACCTTGCGGCAAGACCACACCTGTGGTTTCAACCGATGCGAAACGCTGCTGATAAGCGTTGTCCGCGGCCTGGATTACCTCAAAGGCTTCTTGGTCGAAATCCCACAGGTGCCAACTATCCAATGACTCACGCCAGGAAAAGAGCGCCTCGACCTGTTGCTTCGAGGCGTCTGCAAACCTGACCCACCGGAATCGTCTGTCCTGTCGCTTGTACTCGTCAACGACGATCTGTTGCAGAGTGTTGCACGCGGCCCTTTCCCACCGCGAGTGCCGCGGTGAGGGCCGACTTCCATGTGCGACCAAAAGGTCGCAGTCACGGAGGGGTTTGTTTACCCGAAAAGCGTTACGGCTGATAACCGCTCAAAGGAGAGGGAAACACAGTTTTCTCAACAACGGGGGAACCCGGGACCTTAAAAGGAACGAGCCCCGCCGTGACTGCGACCTCTCCCTTAACCTTGTGGCAGCGCGTGCAACGCGCTCTTTTCTTGAGCCAAAGCAATGACATGTGGTCATGTCACTGATCTTGTACCTTGCAACATGAGTACCTACCTCATGAACCTCTGGGCCATAAATGTCATCGTGATAATTTACTAACATAGACTAAAATGGGTGGTGCACCTACCAACCAAAATGGTACCATTGGTCACGGCCACATCGTCCCCGCTTGGGAATCCAAACCCGCGTCCCCCCCCCGCCTTCATCTGCCTGGAAGAGCATGAGCTGCTGCCGGCAGTCCTCGGCCGCCCAGGCGGCCATGTCCCGCCACATGGCCATACTCGCCTTCTGGACCTCGCGATAGTGGTACGAGCGCGACATGTGATATATATATATATATATATATATAATGACCCTGAATATGTTTGTCCCAGTTCGTGGAACATATCATCTTTTTGATGGCTTCCCCCAATGGTCATCCCACAGACCTATATCAAAATCGAGCTTCCCGCGCCTCCAGGTCCCCGCAGCTGGCCGCGCCGTGTCCGTCTCTGGGCAGCACCTTCTTCAGCACGAAGCGCCACTTGCGGCCCCAGTCCGTGGGACTCGCCGCCGTCTTGTCGTCCCACTTACTCCGCTTCTTCGCCGGGCCTGGCGAAGCTCAGATCGGTCAGATCGGTCGACAAGGGCTCGGGCTCTGTTCGGCCCCTAAAAATGGTTCCGTAGCAAGTGAATACAGTTCTGGGCCGGTTTTCTATTCGCAACTCCAAACTGTCCGGGGGCCGAAACCAACGGACACAAGGAAGCCACTCAGGCTTGCTCTCAACTTTCTCTTGTGGCCCTCAAATGTTTCCCAAGCAAAAAGATCCCGCGAACTCGCGACGCGTCGGCACCTGAAGCCCACACGCGGGATCGAATCTTGTCCTGGAAAGCGACAGGGCAAGCATAGGCCATCGAAGTCTCGCGTGGCCAACGCCAGGCGCTACCCCCACCACAATTGCTTGGCAGTTGACGAATTTCCTAGCAAGTACACAAGAAACTCAGTACGCAACATGGGCGTCAGCCCGGCATCGCAACCCCCTGCTAGAGAGCTAGAAACACATCGGATTCCTCCTTTCATTCCTTCTCTCCTTGCTTGACGACTCGCAAACCCAACGAGCCAGTGTGAACATCTTGAAGTCAATTGTCTGGGGAATATGGCTGTATGCGAGGAGGGATTGGCCACCATTGCCGCAGAATTTAGCCCTCGTGTATCAACGGGATCGCCAAGGGTATGACAACGCCCCTACCCTTGTTCAACGCTGTTGGAACTAAACCTCTTCAAAGCTCCTAGTACTTAGGCTCGGTCTGGAGGGACTGCCTCTGGCTGTTCCATGATTTGAAACCGGTCGTGTTAACTTCGCCTTTCGCTCGCGCGCACGTCGCGCACGAGAGTGGAGCAGCTGACTCGGCTCCTGCAGAGCCTTCCACAGGCCCAGCTCCGGGAAATTGGTCAAAACCTGACACGTAATGAGCCCGAACCCCATGTCTTCCCAAAACAAAAACGGACAAATTCAGGCAGGGAACTGCGAAACATTTCACCGCCCAAGGAGAGATTCCGGAATGTATGGCACGGCATTTGCTGCCTCCAAAGGGTTCGGGTGCCCAAGAGTGGAGCAGCAGCTTGGGCCCTTGAAGCAGTTCTCCCCACATGAACAAGCACAAAACCCAGACGACACCGCTAAATCTCTCAAATGCCTCAAACAGGCCCAAGCCCAAACCCAAGCACCCCAACCACCCCAAACACCCACCCCGACTCCTTGGCCAAACCTCCCATCCCTTTGCCCCGGGCCTGGTTCCAGCTGCCCCGCACGCAGCTGTCGTTCCTCCGCGCCTCCGCCTCCGCGCAGCGCGCCAGGGCCGTCAGCAGCTGCGCGCGGAAGCGCTTCTTCGCGCAGTCGTAGGCGATGCGCAGCGGCGCACTGGCGAAGAAATCCAGCAGCTGGGGCTCTTGGTACCTTAGCCGCGGGGAAAGTAGGGCTCTGGCTCTGGGGGTTCAAATTTATAAATCTCTTGGTACCCTTACCTTAGGGTGGGACAAGTTGAAGAAACTGGTCGCGTTCTTTGCCTTTTGAGGGTGAAATGGAAAAACATAGTGGCTGTATGAGGGGAAGAATGGAAAGATTGAACCCATGTGAGCCTCTTTCGAACGTCACATCCTGACTAGGATTCCCCAGTTTTGAACCTGTTTGGCCTATTTGGGACGGAAAGTCGCTTGACCATAGCAAAGCAATCCCACTTGTCACTGTAAATGCGGGTCGGCTACGCTGGATTCGCAACCAGGTGCTCACCCACGGTTGAATGGCACTGTTGCTTGCCAATCTAAGAAGGCATTGGCAACCCCGAACAATTGACTCTGTCACTGTTGCTGCGGAACTTATTCTGGCATCTAGCCCTGAAACTCCCTGCGGCTTGTCTTTTCAGGATGTGCAAGCAGAAAGCCAAAAGACACCCTGAAGTCAGGTCTGACCAGTGACCAGTGTAGCCGAAACTGATTGTTCATTCATGTGAAATCCCAGCTGAAATTATGTTGCCCAAACGGTATTGCAAAGGCTTCCATGTATGCTCTATATTTTGGGTGTAACACGAGGCGTCTACTAGTTGGTTCAACCGGGAGTTAAAGCTATTAGCGAGGCCTACGATGCTCCAGAAAGATCATAATAATGAACGCTAGAACCAAATTTAAGCACACTCAACATTGGAGCACTGGAAGCGACCATTTTGGTGAAGCCTATGTGTCCGATAAAACTATGCCACGGTCGCAACTTCTAAAACACTGTGTATGATGAAAAGCTGTAGGGCGATCATTTTCCAAGGTTGTCTACAATCCATATTGAAGGGTTACGCACCCCTTGCAAAGCTCAATGACCTTGTCACAACAGGGATCATGGATCAAAGATTTCGGGGCCCTGCGTCGGGGCCCTGAGGAAAGAGCCCTGGCTAAGCCTGGTGCCACTTCACGAGCAGCTCCTGCGGCGAGTGGGAGCTACCGCGGTGAATTGGTGCGAACCGTGGTCATGTAACATGTCAGGTAGGTGCCCCGATCCTCGAAATCAAGAGATTTGAGAGCAAGACACTACCGAGTCACAGAAGAATGAAAGAATGATTGCAGGCTTCCTTGCATTCTGGCAAACAGGGAAACCTGAGCATCAACGTCGCTCCTGCGGCGGACACCTGTGGAAAGCCACGTGCTGCTGGAAGCTGTTCCGCGCCCGCCACAAAGCGGCGTCGGAGATGGAGCCCTCACCTATCGGTTTGAGAAAACCGCCATATTTAATCCGCCAAGGCGCGGAGTCTCCGGCCTGACAAGGCCAGCACGGCTCCCAGCAGCCGGCTGGCTTCTGCCATGAGCTCCCCTTGCCTTACGGCAGGAAAGAATGCCAAGTGGGGCTGCCATCTTCATGGGAGAGTAGGCTGTGTGCGTGCGCGCGTACGTGCGCGGTTGGCTTCTAAACATCCAATTCCAACTGCAAAGGTAGGACTGGATATTGGAATCCACTTCTCCGACACCTGCAAAAAGGACCTCAGGGTCAAAGATCGTGTCAAACCCTGCTCATTCCGTTCGTTGCATTGATTCAACTCAGAACGTGAGCATGACGTGATCTCTACAATGTGACTGCAGCCAATGCTCGTTAAGCCATCCCACCTTCTCGCTTTGACGACATCCTGAATATGGCATCACCTGACTGCACCTTCTCCTTTTGCAAGGGAAAGGTCAAATGTGTGCAAACTTTCTTAAATGCTTGACAAACATGGCAACAACATCTGCAGTTCAACTCCTGCAAATGTTGCGGAGTCGTTACGTTGCCCCTGAACATTGCCAGCCAAAATGCAATTCGAATATGCAATTCGAATTGCTCCTACCGCAGGCTCCAAACCTGGCTTACAAAGATAAAATCAAACCACAAGAACCTCAGTTCAAGAACGCCCCTCGCCCAGTTCTTGGTAGTTCAATTTGTTGAAAGGTTGTCACATCTACGGGACTCTTTTCGACAGGGCCATCAAACTCAGCCTTCGTTATGCCCCCTCCCACCAGCTTTTCCGTTGTTCAAAGAAACCTTGCAAGCTCTCAATCCTTCTCCCAACTTCAAGTCAGGCACCTTCTCCCCCCCTCCAGCAAAATGGGCCATGGCTTTGGGACTGGGTTCAACCCGCCTTTGGAACGACAGCTTCGACCTCGAGCTGATTGCCAAGAGGCGGGCGCTCGAGGCTGTCCTGCGGCGCCGGCGCCTGCAACGTCACCTGGCAGAAGGCGTTCAGCACCACGCGGCTCTCGGTGAGCACCTGCTTCAGCTCCTGCGATCGATCGCTGAAATCCGGCTGAAAGCAAACGAACGCACGAAGAAAAATGGCATAGGTCGAAGCCCCAAAAGGTTCTCAACCTACACCAGACCAGAGTGGGTTCTCATGCTGCATCCAAACGATACTCTGCCCTTTTGGCTGGTTCAAGGTCCACGTGAAACCCAGAAAGGAAATGCATGGCCATCGCTCAAAAGAAGAAGCCCGGCCCCAGCAAAGAAGTCAGACTTTCTTGCAAACTACCAAGTTGTCCACAGATTGACATGAAGGAAAAAGACCTAGTGAAATAAGCTGAGCAATACACTTTGCCATGCGCAATCAGAAGCTTCAGCACAACTTGCTCCGTTTTGGGAACCATGGATTAGCAAGATGCTGGTTCCTTTGTTGGTCGTTGTGATTGTTTGTTGGGAAATCCGAAAATCATGTGGAGCGCAATAACACTGCTTGTAAGTGCTTTTTTTCGGGGTTTATTCAGAGAGGAAAACAACTGCCACGCCAGTTGGGTGCCAAAGAATATCCCGTGGAAGACTGACAAATTGCCCACCCTGGATTTCTATTGCGAGAAGTCGCAATTATGGCCTATCCATCAATTGGGTGATCATTCAGCAGCATCCAGGTTTTCCTTGCTCGATTGATTCTTCTCGCTGATAGGTGCAAAGACTTCCTTGCTGAGCCTCTACCAACCCGTTTGATGGTGCCGCCTTTGCAGAATCAAGGGCCCGCTCAAGATCTGATTTGAGGCATAGGTCTGCATTTGTGACTGTCCGCTCAGCGACTACATTCCTCTCAATTGCTTTTGGGGCCATGGGGTGCATGCAGTCATGCAGTGGTGCGATTCATTCCCGCACTCGCAGAAACTCAGAGCACCTGAGAAAGGAGGCCTGCCATCGCCCTCCGAGCCCCTCCCCTCGCTGCATCCTCCGCGGCTTCGCCCAAACGCTTGAAAGCCTCGTGCGCCTGCAACAGAGGGCGGTGCACGGCGAGCCCCCAAGAAGGGAATCCGAAAAATGTTTGCTGTAGGGATCACAAGCCCGGGTCGCAACAGTGGTCCAAGTTCCAAGTAGCGATCAGGTCACCTCTTGTTGCTTGGCGCCACCATTCAAGCCACGCGCGAGCCCCATATCTCCAAAGAGGAGCCACGAACCAGCCCGCGCCACACTGAGGAATCGGGCAGTCAGCTTCGGGGGCTTTGGTGCAAACCTGCCTCCGGGATCCCGGAGTTCTTATCAGGGTGCAGCGCCCGCGACAGCTGCCGGTAGGCGTAGTTGATGTCCTTCACCAAACTAAACAGGCGAAAACGGTGGCAACCAGCCAAGTCAAGGTGTAAACTCTAGTTGCTCCACTCAGACCAGCAAGAGCTGACTAATCGAGCTCTTGTGCACATCAACACAACAAGAGGTAATTGCTTTTGCAGAAAGGTCCCTGGCATCCCTTCGCAATTCTAATATGTATATATATATATATGCTATTATTATATATAGATGTGGATATATATATATATATATTAATTATATATATATATAGGCACGGTCAAAATTACTTACTTACGGCCGTTTCGCTACTTACTTTGAGAGTCCCCTATCGTTTTCCAGCATGTCCATCGTTTTCCAGGGGTATCGTTTTTTTGAGAGTCCCCTATCGTTTGCCATGGTTTTGTGCATTTTCACAATATCAACGAAACAACGAATACTAAACTCAACAGAAGTAATTTTGACGGTGCTTCTATCTTGGCTTTGAACCATGGCTTCAGAACATCTCTCTCTCTGACTCTTTTAAATCCAGCACGCCACAAACACAAAGCACAACAACGAATATCCAAAGTCCTCATCTGCAAGCTACTTGCTGGTGCTTAACAGAGAATGCGATTGAGACCTGAGCCGCCTACCCTCAGCCCATAGCTCATGAATGGCGGTGGCAACAAACACCCTATGCCCTACAAGCACGTCCAACAAGACAAACCAACGAAGCAGGGGTGCAACTAGCAATGCACCGCACAGCGGCAATCAGAAAAGGCACAAACACCCACACACATGAACACAAAGATACACAAACACCGGAGCTTGCTCCTTACAACACCAACCCAAGCCAAGACAAACCAAGCCGAACCAAGCGGCACCCAAACGGAACCATCGCCAAGGTGCAGACTCCCCGTAGCCCCCGTGGTGCACGCCCCCAAGTCGCAGCACCGCGCCGGCGGCCAGGAGCTGGCCGTTGCGCTTGGTGAGAATCCGCTGGATCTCCTCAAGGAATGCGGGGTTTGCGGCGTTGGTTCCCAAATGGGGTGTCAGTGATCCAAAGGAATGGTATCAGCGATCTGCATTTCCGGAATTCGGAAGGCACCATGTGGAAGGAATCGTCAGCTGGTCACCCAATGCAGCATTGAGGGCACTGACGGGATTCGCACATGCCATTTCTCATTAGCGTCAAATGGCTTGCGGTGGGCTGCCATTGTGCCACCGTCCTCTGATGAATGTTGGCCCCTTGCTCGTGTTCACCTGAACACTTGACTCAACCTACTTTGACCCAGGATCAGTTTGGTCTGAAAGGAACAGGAGTTGGTCAACTTTGTGTGGTACCCATTCTTGGAGGGCGCCATTGGATCTTGAGGGCCGGGTCGGACAATGCGTTTGTTTTTGCCCTCCCCCCCAGTCTCCAAATCAGAACTTGGTTAGGGGCCATATTTATGCCTCAGTGATTTGCGGAATTGGCCCAATCGGAACATCCGTGTTTTACATTTTAGAGGCCTGCCCCGTGCTTTGTGGTCGCCTCCGCCGGGGGCGCCACCAAGATTTTCTCTGCCGCGTGAGCCTGCCGCACCTGGTGAGCCGCTTGAGTTCTGGCTGTTGGTATTGTTGGTGTTTGATGGTGCGTTGGTTGCTGTTACGTTGGTTGGCTTGGCTTGGCTTGTTCGAGTCTGGGCCAATCCAAATGCATGATTTTCTGGTGGAAACCCACTTTAAAAGGAACCTGGCTGGTAAACCAGGGGAAGGATACAGGAATAATGGACTTGAAGTGGCAGAAAGATCCCTGGATGGTCTCATCTTAGCTCACAAACTGGCCTCAGAATCTCGAAACCATCCAAAGAAGAAAAGTTGGGAGAATGGGAACTCTGGATGAATTCGACAGCCATTTTGTCCCACTGGAAGGAAAAGTTGTCGTGTTTTCCTGGCCCAGATGCATATCTAGAGGGCCCTGTCACGTGGCACCCAGAACTGTAGCTCTATGGCAGCGCGCCACCCTGTGTACAGGGTGGAGGTTGGAGGCTCAAGTAATTCCAGTTCTGTTCTGAAGGCAACTTGTCGCTCGAGCGTGCTTGCACCCTGACCTCTCCTCATTTAGAAAGCCCGTTCGGAAAAGTGTTATTCAAAAAAAAGAAGGAAACACCTCATCAGCAAACAAACTTGGATGTTGGCTCACCCAAACCCGTTGCCTCTGCCAGCAGCCGACTCCGCAGCGGGTAGTCCGCGTACCAGGGCCCGTCCCCAAAGAGCTCCACCTCTCTGCTTCAAGGACATGAGCCACGCATCAACATCTCAAGCTTGGTCAGCCTCAATGGTTTTGTGGCAACATTTAGAGAGAGAGAGAGATGTATATTATACATAACGTCTAGCGAGTCGTGGGTGCTGGATTGTTGATTGGGCATTTCCATTGCAGCACCTAAGCAGAGGTCTCAACATTGTGTGGCTAAACCTGCAACCGGCACGTAAGACCAACAGAGACGATGACGATGTGGCCGAAGGTCCAGGCTCCGCACAAGCACCTAGGAGTACTCTGAACACCAGCGGTATGAAGCGTGGAAATTCCCCACTTTCGACAGTTGGTGGGACCCCAGCAGGCGTGCCGTATATGTCAGACTCGGTGATTGCCTTGCCTCTTGGCGGCGACTCCAAGTGCCGTTGACAAGACGACCCTCATTCAAACCAGCATCTAAGTGGACCTGATCTTTGGCCCAAACATTTCGAGTATTCCCAATGGTCTAGTTTCCACTACAACCAACTGAACCGCTGATACAATGTATATTATTTATGTTTATCTATTTGCCTATCCATTTATTTATTTATTTTTTAGCTATTTATTTATTTATATTTTAGTTATTTATTTATTTATTTATTTATTTATTTATTTATTTATTTATTTATTCACTTATGTATTCACTTATGTATTCACTTATGTATTTATTCATGTATAATATATTGTGCTGCGCCGGTGCGCTTGTTGCCAGTCATTATTCATCAGATTATGGGCATGAATGGGTGCTGGGAGGCAGCAAGCCAGGATAATTTTAGGCTTGGACACGTTCAACTTCATCCCCAAAAAGATCTGGTTTCGATTTGACACACTGCCAAACAACCTATAAACATCGCCCCGGCCCCTCAGAATCAACCTGTCACCCGTAACGGAGGACACCCCGTTGTGCGGTTTCATGTTCATTCGGGTTTGTCTCAAACCAAAACGTGGTGGTGCTTTTTGGCTTTCCCTGTAAACCGCTCAACAACATGGAAGCCTCCGGTCCCCCAGTCCCCCCGTTTCTTCGGCCCTTACAAGGGCCACCTTCCCCGCCTGCGGCACCTGCGGCACCGGGGAGGGTGGCTCCTCCGGGGGCGGCGCCTCTGGGGGCGGCGGCTTCAACGGCGCGGGGGGCGCCGCCGGGGCGTTGGCTGCCTGCGCCGTCAGCCGCTTCAGGATACCCGCCTTGACCTCGGCGATATTCGGGTGCCCCAAATTGGGAAGGGACCCCTTTGTTGGGATTTAAAGGCAAACCAAAGGAAGCCCGCCCATTTTAGGGACCAATTCCTGATGGGGAGAGGAGGTTCGGGATAAGGCAAAGGAGTTCAACCGGATATCAAAAAACAAGGAAAAGAAACTCTTCAGCTGATATGAAGGAGACACGAAGAACATGTTTGTGTAAGGGATGCCGAAAAAAATGAAAAACGTTCTTTGTGGGAACGTTTTGTTCATTTGATGCTGTTTTGGCTTTCGCTAAAAGCAAAGAAGCCAACGATGTCCTTTTCGTTTTCCTTTGGTTTCGATGCAAGACGAAACGAGCTCCAAACCAAAAGGCCACGGCTGCCAATGGGTTGTCGGCGGTTTCCGCTGGGCCCTTCTTAACAACTTTCCTTTCGTGAAAGTTGTATTGTTAAAAATCACCTCTCAACCTCCTTGGAAGCAGTCACTACGTTCTTGTCGGGAAGTAAATGAGATGAAACCTCGTCAATGGAGGAAACATGCCATTTACTTTCACCAAAGCTGTGATATGGGTTTGCCTCCTTCTGGGGTGGAGCAGAAAACGCCTTGCGTTTTGTTGTTTTTTCTTTTCTGTAGCCGTTTAAATCTCACTGCAGGTGAGAGATGGGTGTTGCCTAAAAAGGGATCTGGACCCTTTCACATGGCTCCTTTTGCACCCCTCCCCAAATGGCTTCTCAGAGCCAACAAAGGGGTTTAAACAGCTGGATATGCATCTTGCCTCCTTCCACACCCACCGCCGCTTCTCGGCCCAAGTGTCTGTCTCGATCTTTGCTGCTCGCGCGGCAGGCGGGAGCGAGGCCAGGGCCTTGTTCCCGCTAGGAAAAGCATGCGATGGGACAAAATGCCATGGCAGGAAAGGGAAAACAACCGAGAAAAAACAAGCTTCAGCAACTGAGTTGCGGTCGTCAAACAAACAGGTGATCAAATGGTTACCGTGACACGTGCCTGGTGGATTTTAAGCGCACGCCTATTCACGTATTGACCTATTGATTTGTCTATTTATCCATCTATCCATCCATGCACCTACCTGCACGTCTGATTGTCTACCTATCCATCTGCTTGTCCTACCATCTGTGTATCTACGCATTCGTACATCTACTCATTTTATCCAAAAACATGTAGTTATTTTTTTCGCTATTTCGTCCTTTCTTTATTTATTTCCTTCATTTCTTCCGTTCTTCCTTCCTTCCTTCCTTTCTTTCTTTCTTTACTTATTTCTTTCTTTCCTTCCTTCCTTCCCTCTTTATGTCTTTCTTCGAAGTGTCCTTTTCCTCCTTCCTTTCTTTCTTTCTTTCCTTATTTCTTTCTTTCTGCCTGTCTGTCTGTCTGTCTGTCTGTCTGTCTGTCTGTCTGTCTGTCTGTCTGTCTGTCTGTCCTTCTTTCGTTGCTTTCATTTCCTCCTTCCTTTCTTTCTTGTTTTATTTCTTTATTTCTGTCTTTCTTTCTTTCTTTTCTTTCCCGATGCGCTGATCTATCTTCACAACTAGCTTGCAACCGATATATCTCCTATCTGTCCAAGCACACCTAACAAAAATATAACTATTAATCACAACGTATATCGTATCTTTCTGCGTGCGTCGATTTATGTGTCAAGTCTATCTGTTTTTGTGTCTGCGCGCCCCTATGTCTGTCTGTCTACCTCCCTCCAAAGCGCTGACCCTTGCCTTGAACATCGACACTCCCGCGCAACGGATTCAATGATGTCCAAAGCACTGTGCCTGCCAACAAAGCCATGTTTGCGCCTGCCACAAAAGCTCAAGAAAACAAGCCGATTGTACCATGGCGCCAAGCAAAACGCATCAAAACCACCACCACTGAGACACAAAGTCACAACGGCACGGCGACGCCGGCGCGAAACCTTACAAAGCACTGCGCCTGCGCAGCAGAACGGCGTGAGACGTTACAAAAGCTACGACCTACGCAAACACACACACACACACACACACACACAAAACAACATTTTGCAAATCATACAAACGCACATTCTGGATCTTCGCCAACAGTACGTGATCGTTATATCGCAGACTGTTGTGGACGGTTGCGGATGGTTGCAAACTCCAGAACAGCATGTTGCGAACACAACCTGCACCCCCAAACCCCTTCGCCACGCATTCAGGAAACGGTCTAACCACGATTCGACCACTGTGTTGGGATGCAGAGATGCACAGGATAGATCACGTGCTTCACCCACGCTCGTTCTGTTCAACTGCGAGCTGGTTGCGGCCTGCTTGAGGCCCCATGTCTACCGTCTTTGTGTCTGTCAAAGTCCTGCGCCTGTGCTTGGGCCCAGCTGGAAACACCTTTTTATACTCCCCGGCCAGTGTGAAGCACGGCATAGGAATAGTACTTGTGTTTCTGGCTTTCAAAATTTGTTGAGAGGACAGCATCTGAGAGACGAGTTCTCAGCTTTCGGACACTCCGGGGTGCCTTCTCGGCCATCTCCTGCGCCTGCTGCTCCAGATCCATGGCGTCTCGTCTCCGCTCGGCCACTCGGCCACTCGGTCCGGTGGGCTGCGGGGCGACTGAGGCTCCGTCAACATGCGACGAGCCAATGGCACCATGCGCCAAGACGAAGGAGCCCCCCCAAGAGGGTCACCAGTTTGTCCATCCCTCATGTCACGTGTCTGAAAAGAAGCCAAACATCAATGTAGGGGCCCAACAACATAGTATGTCGGAATGTCCCTTCACATCAAGTAAGCAAATCAGACGTCTTTTTCTCAGGTCAGGCACAAGCTGCGTGTGCAGCCCTCTCTGAGAACCAGGCAGTCCGGGTCGTGAAACCCACAGCAGCTTTGGCAAGGTTGTCTATTCCACGACGTGAATCTAATTTGCACCTCACGTCACCTGCGAAGTAAGGACTCCATCTCCCCCAGCCACAAGCTTCCACAAAGCCGTTGAGCGGCCAAACTCGGTCTGCTTCATAAGAAGGGCTCCCCTCTTTGCTAGACATAAGACTTCGAAATCAAATCGACGTGGGTATGTGGACTCCTTGTGCTTGGCAAAAATGAAGATAACTTATTTGGAGGGGTCAAGCGTGATGCATTCCCACAGGGCACACACCTGCACAAGCCAAACAAACGCAGAAGCAGCCTCAAGAAACAAAGCAAACCCCCGAGTCATTCGAAATAAGTCCCAGAAACGTTTCCAACAAGCGCCTCCGTTTGCCTTCGTCTTTCTTCGAACGGGGCTTTGAGGTTCCAAGGAGCCAGGCCTGAGCCTCATTGGCCCTCGTAATCGGACTCCGCCAGCAGCTGCGCAGGTGGGCTGCGAGCTCGGCATTTCAGGCCCAGCAGCGCAACTGCTCCGGCGCTGGCGGCCTGGGCGAAGCCCATGCTAAGCTAAGCCACCCTGTGCCACGTGCTCGACTCATGCGGTGCGGACCGAAATCACTTTTTGGCTCCTGTCAGACAAGCTGCCGAATTCAATTCAACTCCGCTTCGACTGCCAAGCTGCTGGAAAAGGACAAATCACATTCCTCGGTAGAGTCAAGGAACTTCCGCGCAAGCTTGTTGGCGAAGTCGACAAAAGCGACTGCCACGGCTTGAAAAATATAAATCCGTTCAGCGTCTCACCCTGATCTGTCCACACTGCCAAAGCCTGAAGCCTTGCTGGCTGGCCCGACACATGCAAGGGCTACTGGTTCATTGAACTGGCGAAACAACCGTTTCCCAGTCGCAGCACACCGTGCTGACGCCCTCTCACCGTCGTACCTCAAGCTCGAATCTGCGAAGCTTCACTGCATCCTTCAGAACAGAGTTGTTTTCGGCCACACGACTCAAGAACTCATTCAGCCTTGCTACATGTACTCGGAGGCCTTTGGCAGTATGCGGGTTTGTCTCCGCCCGCCTACAGTTCATGGAATCAAAGCTATCCTCCGACTCCGTAAAGCTCACGGAACTCACTTGGCGCGAGATGCCGTCAGCGCCACGCAGCTGGAAAACCACCCTGGCGCTCGACGCGCGGGCGCGTCCTGTACGCTTCTTGGCCAGGCTGGTGGTGCAGCCCATTGCCAGCGACAGGAGCTTGAGCCAATGTTGAGGGCTCGGGCACAGCGTGTTTAGGATTTTGGAGGGGGTCTGTGAAGCACGTGGCTCGGCTGGCCTCAAGCAGAAAACAGAGCGTTGCTAAAATGGTCTTTGTTCTGCACTCGACAGGGACGTGATGGTGATGTTGCACAACGTAATGCTCACAACTGCACTAGAGGGTTTGCCTCAAACAGGTGACAAAAACAGATAAGTTTCCTTTTGCTCCCGAGAAAGAAAAAAAAAAAGCCCCCGGAACAAAGACACACCCGGATGTTTTGTGGGCTGCAAGACGACAACTGCTAGTCAAACCTGGCGTGAAGTCTCAGGGCGAAGCGAAGAGCCCCAGCAAAGGAAGGAGCCGGAGGTGCAGTCCACCAATCTGGGGCAGGTCCTAGCGGACCGGAATTCCAGAAGCTCAAAGCCAATAGCTACCCTTCAGAAACCCAACACTAAAAAAACGAAAGATTAGCTAGTGTGATGGTAATTGGGATACATTTTGTAAAGGAAAGCCCACGCTGATCAAAAGAACAGCATGCCTTCTTGAGGCTTGCCAAACAGGTCCCGCCACCCTCTTTGGCTCCTCATTGAGCTGCGTCTTATCCTGCCGGGATCCGGCTTCTGTTGTGCAGGAATGGACTCAAAGAACGCCAGTCACTCAAGTCACCGAAAGCGCCTTCGCAATCTCGGCTTGGAGGGCCCCAACATGAGTCTGCACGGCAGATTTCCGAAACGCATTGGAAAACTCTGAAGCGAGCCCCTTCGAGAAACGTGTTGGCCCCCACCTCTGTCTTGTACATGTTCTTCAGGTGCGCGATGGCCGCCTGCAACCTTTGTTTCTGTGCTGCGTTGTCCTTGCGAGGCATCCGAAAGGAGGGCTCTCAAGCAAATTCTTCCATGCCCTTCCTTTCTTTGACACCGCCTTGTCCACCTGCTTGCGCAGGCTCACCACGTCCACGTCGGAGGGATCCATCTTCTCGAAGTCCTTGTTGGCAAAGTCCGCCTTGGCCATTCGACCACCGAGACCACCGACCGCCCCTTCGCCGCGTGCGCCGCGTGCGCCGCGTGCGCACTGGGAGCCGGGCGAAGACCTTGGGCACGTCCTTCGCCTGGCGAGCGCAGAACGCGCAGAACGGAGATGCGGAGATGCGGAGTGAGGGTCGTGTTCAGCATGGTAGGGCCGGCTGGTCTGGCGTCGTTGACCCTATGATTGAGTGTGGCATACGCTCGGGCGCCCAGAATTTTTGGCCTCCTTCAAGGGCTTCACAGGATCTGCCGGTGTCATGAGCGGCAGCTTCTCCTCGGGCAAATTGTTTGAAGCCGACAAACATCCGGACTTGCTTGGGCTGTGGGCTCGCATGGTCGCCAGATTCTCAGGCGCTGGCTGCTGGCTTCAGCAGGCTCTCCTGTGCCAGTCAGGTCAAAGAGACAAGGATAGGGCAAACCAAACAGACCTTGGCTCAAACACTTCGCGCCTTGATCTTGGGGTCCATGTTCTTCACCACAGGCAGATCGGTCTCCCCTCAGGCGCGGTTCGAAGGCCGCCGTGCTTTTGACGGGGTTGTGTCCCAGTCGACGAAAAGTCGCCCGGGGCCTGGCACCAAGGAGGCCCCCCGAGGCCCCCCGAGGCCCCCCGAGGCCCCCCGAGGCCCCCCGAGGCCCCCCGAGGCCCCGGCCATGCTCGATCCTCTCCATCAGTTCCTGTGCTGCCTCCAAAGGTTCGATTTGTGCTTGGCATGGAGTTGCTTCGCATGAGTTGTGGCCGTGCGCCAGCGCTTGTGGCCTGAAAGGCACTGGCAACATTGCGTGCTACAGTGAGTAAGGCTGGAATCAAGATTGAAACGTGTGGCTGCTTTCCTCTCTCCTCTCTCTTATTTCATCAGCCAGCAACGAAGAAGTTTGACTGTTCCCCAGGCAACCAAGATTGCTGATAAGTCAGGCAATACGTCAAACAAGCTCGACCTGAATATGATATATATAATATGTCTTAAAGCTTGTGTCGGCTTGGGCAATTTTGGTTTCAGGCGAACAATGTGAAGCAACTCGCAAAGGGACTGCCCTCATCTTTAGCGAGTCGACAAACACACCAACCTTGGCAAAGTCGTGGCTCCAGGCAGCTGAGATCCACCTGAAGGCGTCCCAACTTCGTCAGCTTCAAAACAGCTCGGTGGGATTGTTGGTACTGGCCCAAGTAAGCCACACGGCAGGAGCATTCAAGTCAGCATCTGAACTGGGGCCCAGGCAAGCTGAGAAGGGTGGGGAAGAGCCACGCCATGATGAGCGACCGACCGAATCAAGGAAAAGCCCTAAGGAATACCATGCAGCCGTTGCAGCACGCTGAAGCAGGTAAATATTGCGGTCACGCGAATGAAATGGCCAGAGTGGTTGAGAATGGTGTTGCACCCCTCCAGTGGCAGCAACGCGCGCCTATTTGTTTCATCAATGCCCAACTACCCGTGGCAAGGGCATGTTTGCGTCCACCTTCGTTCCACCTAAGCGGGCAGGGAGCCCTTGTCCAACTCTGTGGCTCTTGTTGCGATCAAATGGGCCTGCGTGAAAACAGGGCCTCTGGCTAACCTACAAATCTGGGCAGAACATGCGGAGAGGACTCCGGTCAGGATGTCCAACTCTTTCCTGAACCTTCCACTCGCCAAGCTAAGTCAAAGGGTTGAGCATAGTCCCGGGAGCCAAAGGCATCTCCGAGGCGCGTGCCAGAGCTCCCTGGCCTCGAAAACAGAAATGGCCCGGATGGATCGTAGATGCATACTGCAGGACATATTGTGGATCTGTGCAAGAGCATGTGTGGTTCGCTGTCATGATCTGGTGGCTCCGCCGTGGGCTATGAAATCACATCGAAAATCAAAGTGTCCCCGCAAGAACCCAAATATTCTATCATTTTGATTGCCGCAGCAGCCCGATCCGCTTCCCTTGAAAACCATGCCTGCCTGAAACAAGTCAGTGACTCCATCTTCATCCGGCCGGTCTCCCGCTTCAGCCGCCAGCACTGGCGCAAAGGCGGCTACCACGGGGCAAACAATGCAGCGTCTCAACATGGGAAACCTTTTTGTGGATGTTGTGAAGGCTGAGCAAACAAGAAACCAACCACTTAACCACTTGGACAGGTCCGCAGCACCCCAAGTTTCTCAACAAGCCAGCCATGCGAATCATGCTGCAGTCCATTAGTTGCATCATTGGCTATTTTGCATGTCTGGCTTCTCTCACGCATTTGGGCGCAATTTTCTAGCTGCGAACGGATGCGGATCTGCAAAACTGCTCCTGCGGCTGGCATCCTTTGTGCCCGAGCGAAGCCACGCTCGTGTTTCGTTGCAGCTCGTCTCTTTGGGTCGATGTATGTGATCCATTTCCAGCGCTCAATGGCTTCGGTCCGGCCGAGCTCAGTGTCCTTTCTCGGGCCGCTCAGCCGACCTGAGAACCACTGTCTCTGCAGGTTAATCCGTGGCACTGCTATGGGCTGGAAACTGCCAGACACGCAGTTCCAGAAACATTAGTTTAAACCAGCAGTAAATCTCATTGCGCAAGTAGCAACAGTAGTCAGCAATTTTGAGATGGGCAAATGGGAGAATGATGGAAAAGGCTCGTCGCACGCAGAAACCCAAGGCTCAGGCCGGTTCGTCTGTCTTTTTGGCCACTAGCCGCTGCGGAACTTGCCCAAAATGTGCAGGGAGCCTTGGTCAAAACAGCATGCTCTTCCAGCCCTGTCGTGTTGACAAGGAGGGAATGTCTTTCAAAGAGCACTCCCCTTGACTACTTAGAAGGCCGCTACTTGGAAACCAAGGTCTCCGCGGATCTGCTCACTTCGGAAAGAAAGCTCAGTGGCATCGTGAATACGAAGCGACTGCAAAGGGCATCCTCAGGCGCGCACATACTATTGCCATGAAGACCAGCGACAGCACAAGGACAGTAGTGGGTCCAACCTGCCAATCGCGTGCGATTTCTCGTGCCCCTGCCAACTCGAGAGCACTCGCCTTCAAACCCGGAGTGTCGTCGCTGTAGAACTTCAAAATGCCACCGCCGCCAGCCTACCCAGATTGGAATCCGTCAGGCACTCTTGTCACGTGTTGGTTTCCTTGATTGTTATAGACTGGCCGTCCTGCGAATGAACATTGCTTCATCAAGCCATAAGCAATACAAACGTGTCCCTGACATGCTGGCATGAAGCTACACCCTTTTGTGCTTTCCACTCATGAGAAGGGAAGCACTCAACCCACATGAAAAGTCGATGGCCGGCTGGCATCAGCTTGTCACCCGTAAAGAGCGAAAATGTGCCTGATGTCCCATCAAATCAGGCAGTGCTTCAAACATGGGTGGCTTACTTATACAAGTAGCCTGCAATCGTGGTGGCGGGGGGGGCTTCACCGAAATCAGCATTGCCCGTTGTTTGGCCCTTCAACAGTGTGTGTTGAGCGCCTCTTTAAATTTTGGCTACTCCAGGTCAGTCGGGCTCTGTGCAGTGCCTAATCTGATCAATCTATCTTGGCCATCGATGACCATGAAAGATCCTGTATGGGATTGTCAACGGCCTGGCCTATTTCTTTTCTGGATGGAGGAAAAGGGCCCTTCAAAGGCGGCAAGGGACACAAAGGCCTGAAGGCTGTCGCATTCCAATCCACACACCAAGCGCCAGTCTCGGAGCCTTCTTGCCGCTTCCGGCACCACCTGAAGCCCCGCCAGTCCTGGCGCATGTTCCACTTGTTCGAAGAAAAATAGTGGCTGAAATTCGATAGCGCCAATGAAAGCAACTCAACCGATGTTGGATGATCCCAATCAATACTTCAATTGTCAAATACCTTGTCTGCAAAACAGACCAAATATCACGTATCAGGATTAGACCCAGTCCAGCTCTCGCAATCGGCCAAGCTTGGCACACTATCAGGATAGCATCAGACGGGCAAAAACAGGGGTTTGAGATCACAGAGAATAAGAAAGAGTGCCCAGCCGGAGGGAGGGAGGGAGAGAGCCCTTCACCGCCGGCCTTGCAGTGGCGCGGCGAGCCACAGCGGTTCTGGAGCCACCAACCTAAGCCCGAGACGAAAGAAAAAGCGATGCCACATGCCATCCACAACCCTGTGCCATCCACCCTGTGCCATTCCCCATCGCCGCGGCGAGCCAAAGCTTCCCCATCCAAACAAGCATCTGCGAGGCTCGAGCCCACGGTGCGCCCAGTGAGCCGAGAAAACAGCGAGTCTCTTGGGCTTCGGGCGGAGGCAGCCGCCTGGCCCCTGCCAGTTCCGGAGCCAGAGTCTGCCATCCTGGCACTAAGATTGCGTTCTGTCAAAGCCCAGACCTCACCAGGTAGGATTTCTCGTCGTGAAACCGGAGCGGCCACAGAATCGAACTTCGCAACTCCACAAAAGGTTGGTCGGTCCAATCCCCCGGCGTCCTCAGATGCGAGCGCGCGCTCAGGATTCTGCGATTTGGGCAAAATTCTGCGGGCGGCGGGGAAACCTGGGCTTCCCTTGGCCATCCAGCTGAGACATAGCAAAATGTGGACAAGTGCGCGTCCACGATTGTGAGTCTTGCCTTGGAAACATCTTGATACACAGTGTTCCCAAGACTCGATGAACTAATCCGCTTCGGATGCACCTGCTTGCCCTTACGCTAGCGAAAGATTCCGCTCGCCTCAGTCAACGTGGCCACAACCCTTGCCTCTGCCCAGGCATCGCTGGAGCCCAGCGAGCCAGCACCGCTGGCTCCCTGCAGGCACTCGCATGCAACATATGAGATGCAACGAACAGAATGGGCGCATGCAATGCACGCCACATCACCAGCATCACGGCATTGCTGCATCACTGGCAGTGCCAGCATTTCACAAAGCTAGATCCTGACCCGCTAACTTGCTCGCTTGCAAAATCACTCGAACTGCCTGGTGCTGACAACCTGCTTCAAACTTCAACAGGCGCCAGGCTTTCTGACTTTGGGTCATGCACTGCATGTGGTGGTGCAAGCAATCTGATGCAATCAGGACTATGTTGCGTGAGTGAGGTGATGCGCTGAGAGAGCCAGCAGCCAAACCAAGTAAACATTTGCAAGCTGCGCAAATGTTATCAAACAGTCCAACTGGAGCTAGCAAACTGATCGTGAAAAATTCGCGATCACTTGAATATGTAGAGCAGTGGTATGTTTTGTGGCTATCACAATCCCACATCACCCACAACGCCGTTCAAACATCCACCTTGAGCCTTTAAGGCCCCCAGATCTTCCAAAACCCGGATGCCCCAACCTCCCGCGAGGTCAGCGCGCAGTAGAGGCCATCATACTGAAGCACCTCCTCCAGCATCGGCTTCACCTGTCCGCAAAGGGCCACCGAATGTCTGAACTGGCTGCGGTGACTCAATTTGCCAATGAAATCAAAGCGCTCCCATGAACGCCCTGGTGAAAAAGGTGGTCACGTGCAGTCAAGCAGCGGACCTGTTGTCTGGGCATGCAACAACCTGCTCAAGCAAGCTTCACAACTGTTACCGAACGCCAATCCACACTTGAGCAGGCTCAAACAACAAAATGGGGTTTCTTGAGCCCTTGAACATCGACTTCCTGTTGTCACTACTCTGAGACACGTACGTTTCACGCTGCTTTGGCTTTTGGACGATACTGATAGCACCTTCGAATTTCAAAAAACTTGTGTCGCCTTCAGACAAGCTCCTTGCCATTGGCCAAAAAGTCGTGACCTCGCCGCTCGCTCGCGCCCGCGTCCTCTTTTGACCCCCGCCTCCTTCTCGAAGACCGCCGTCAGCTCGGAGCAGTCCACCTGCAGCACGGCCACCGGCAGCGCCTCGGCGCGCTGCCCCGAGGAACGTGTTTTTCTGCTCGGCACGCGCCGTGCGACCGCAGCTCTCGCATAAATCCTGGATGCTCGCAAGCTGGAACCTGCTTAGGACCTGTGCAGGGTCTGATACGTGAGTGTTTCTCGTTATAGGGGATGCTTTTGCAGGTTCCTGCTTTTGGCCATTCATAAAAGGGGCTCCCTACATAGTTTACTTTGAGATTAAACCATGCTCCTTTCAGAGCGAGCGCCACGCAAAAAGTCAAGCAACATGAAAAACCAACAACTTTCAGGTATCGAGGTTTCCCCTAGCAGTCCCTTATTGAGGAGAGGAGTCTCACGTTCCTTGTCTTTGTGGTGTGAACCCCCACGTTCCCCTGAATGTCTTGGAGAACAAGAAGCGGAATCGGAAGTGGTCAACGTAAAGCAAATGTAACCGAAAACGGACACAAAGTGTTCCTCAACTCGTACAATTGTTGATTGATTCCCAAGCAGAGAGCTCACTCAGCTGATGCTTTTTGTCAATTCGCTAGCCATGAACAGCCCTTGGAAACTCCAATTGCACAAGCGCAAAGCTGCCTTTCAGTCCGTTGGGGAGACTCCTCTGAGGCCTTGGCGGAGGTCCGGCGCGCCTCAAAGGCGAACCTTTCCAGGGAGGTGTGCGCGTAGACCTGCGGCTTGGAGGCAAAATCAAAGTGGATGGTTCACATCACCTCAGTTCGGGATTTCTGAGCTTGGGATTTGGACTTGCGTGAGCAAAAGGGGCCTTGAGGGCTGACGCTTTTGATGTCCAGCCACCTCCACGCCCTGGCTGGAGAACCACGCGCCAAACTGGGCCAGCGCCACTTTGTGGCGGAGGTAGCCCTGGCAAGCGGCCCACCAGATGGGATCAATGGCGAGTTGTCTCAGGCTGGAGCTTGATGGATGCCAACTCCCAACTTCACATTGCACAAGTGCCTATGATACGCACTGACGACCCTCATGCCCCAGAAAGCAGAAACCCGGCGTTTCGTGGCATGACCGTCTCACATCGCATTCCTTGCATGCTCCATGGTTTTCCGTGGGCCAACCGACACCGGGTCCTGGGCATCGCTCTGGTACTGCGAGTCCACCAGATGCACTGCAGTCACCTTCACGCCTCGGATCGGAGCGAGCTCCCGATCGCTCCTCTTGGAAATGTGCCTGGTGCATTCTTCTGAGCTGCCTATGTGTTGCCACCAAACATGAAAAACGCAAGCTGGACGTTGAGCTACGATTGTTGAATCAGACAACTCTAGGGATCTCCCCACTCAAAACAAGTGTTAACAAGTTTCCTCCATCTCCACGTTGCTTTCCAATGCGCCGGAAGCTCATTGCTTCGAGGCGCCCTCGGCCAAAAGCAGCTCCAATAGGCTGAAGTCGAAGCGCAGCAGGCCGCTGCCCAGGGAGGCGTAGCAGACCTGCCCGGAGGCAAAGGTCATGGAGCTGAGCTCAGCGGCTTTATGGTTGTTGCACTTGAGGCCCTCCCAAAAACAATCCGGATGTTTCTCCAGGTCTTCTTGTTCTTCATTGGCATTCAATAGCAAGCGATCAATCTTCTCTTTTTTCTGCTCTCTGCTCGGAGGCCAGGCAAATGAAGTCCAGCTTCGGCACCGGGCGCGCGCCCCGGGGCCCGAGCTCCACCCCGCCCACCACGCAGGCCCCGCCCAGCGCCGCTGCCGGGGCCACCCCGTACTCCGAGGCCTTGTTGAGCATCGAGGCCCGGGACCTGAGCGCGTCGATGGGCCCCCGTGGAATGGCGATGGACGGTGAACCATTGCATGACCTTGTCGCCTTTGCACTGGACACAAGACATGGACGGGACTTTGCGCCGACTGGAGAACTTCCAGACTGGGGAACTTGTATGAGTGTTGGCAAGTATATAAACGTTTCGGCACTTACGTGGTTTCGCTCATGACTTGGAAAAGGGCATTCAGAAGGAGAAAAGCTCCCGAGCGAGAATTGGAGGAAACAGCTTCAAAGGGGTAGACTGTTTGGGCAACAGATAGAAACGTTTCTAAGTGTTTGTTGGCTGATAATATGCGTCATAATCACCACAAAGGGAGAAAACGTTTCTAAGTGTTGGTCAGCCGAACCGTCTCTACGCGTAGAACTTACTGATTGTTTTTGTGTTGATTGTTTTTTCTTGTTTCTAAATGTTTGTCGGAACTTGTGGAAAGCAAAATCGTGTCTAACTGTATGTCCGTCACGATATCTTGCATAGATGTTTAAATAAACTCCTTCACAAACGTTCCGGCATCCTATCAGAATTATTGTTTAAGCAATCCTCTCTCCCACAACAAAAACACCAACTTGACCAAAGAAAATGTCAGGTCGCCAGCCCCGCTTGGACTTCCCTGACAAAACTCCGCAGCCTGCTGGCACTGAAACAAATCATGATGAATCTAAAGATACGCTTTGCTCATCCGAGGCCCGGTCCATTCAAGTGAGGCCATGTCCAGTAATAACATCTCCTCTGCCGGTGCACATGGCACGCTGTCAATCACGTTGCCCCATTCTTCCAGGCGTGCATTTACATATATATATATACATACATACATACATACCTACCTACATACATTACATTACATTACATTACATCACATCACATCACATCACATCACATCACATTACATTACATACATACATACATTCATCAAATACATTCATTACATACATATATACATATATACATATATACATATATACATACATACATACATACATACATACATACATACATACATACATACATACATACATACATACATACATACATACATACATACATACATACATACATACATACATACATACATTACATACATACATACATACATACATACATACATACATACATACATACATACATACATACATACATACATACATACATACATACATACATACATACATACATACATACATACATACATACATACATACATACATACATACATACATACATACATACATACATACATACATACATACATACATACATACATACATACATACATACATACATACATACATACATACATACATACATACATACATACATACATACATACATACATACATACATACATACATACATACATACATACATACATACATACATACATACATACATACATACATACATACATACATACATACATACATACATACATACATACATACATACATACATACATACATACATACATACATACATACATACATACATACATACATACATACATACATACATTACATACATACATACATACATACATACATACATACATACATACATACATACATACATACATACATACATACATACATACATACATACATACATACATACATACATACATACATTACATACATACATACATACATACATACATTCATACATATTACATTACATACATACATACACTACATACATTACATTACCTTCCATTACATGACAGTACATTACATTACATTACATACCATACCATACATACATACATACACGCACATACATACATACATACATACATACATACATACATACATACATACACACACAGACATACATACATACATACATACATAACATAACAGAACACAGCATAACATACATACATACATAACATAACCAAAAATACATACATAACATAACATACACACATACATTACACTACATACATACATACATTACATACATACATACATGCATACATACATACATTACATACATTACATACATTACATACATTACATACATTACATAAATTACATACATTACATACATTACATACATTACATACATTACATGCATTACATACATTACATACATTACATACACTACATACACTACATACATTACATACATTGCATACATTACATACATTACATACATTACATTACATTGCATTACAGTACATTACATACCATACATACAATACATTACATTACATTACATTACATTACATTACAACATAATACAATACAATACAATACAATACTATACATTACATTACTATACATTACATTACATTACATTACATTACATTACATTACATACATACATACATACATTACATTACATTACACTACATACCATACCATACATACATACAATACATTACATTACATTACATTGCATTACATTACATTACATTACATACATTACATTACTTTAAATTAGATTAGATTAGATTACATTACATTACATTACATACATTACATTACATACATACATACATGTATACATTACATGCATACATACATTACATACATACATTACATTGTAGTACATTACATTACATTACTATACATTACATTACATTACATTACATTACATTACATACATTACATTATAGTACATTACATTATATTACTATACATTACATTACATTACATTACATTACATTACATTACATTACATCACATTACATGCTTACATACATTACATTACATTACATTACATTACATACCATACATACATACATACATACAATACATTACATTACATTACATTACATACAGTACATACATTACATACATTTCATACATCCATTACATACATACATTACATTATAGTACATTACATTACATTACATTACATTACATTACATTACATTGCATACCATACATACATACATACAATACATTACATTACATTTGCATTACATTTGCATTACATTACATTACATACCATACATACATACAATACAATACATTACATTACATTACATTACATTACATACATTACATACATTACATACATTACATGCATTACAATACATTACAATACATTACAACACAACAAAATACAATACAATACAATACTATACATTACATTACTATACATTACATTACATTACATTACCTTACCTTTCCTTACCTTACCTTGCCTGACCTGACCTGACCTGACATTACCTGACCTTACCTGACCTTACCTTACCATTCCTTGCCTTACCTTACCATACCTTACCATACCATACCTTACTATACCTTACCTTACCTTACCATACCTTACCATACCTTACCATACCTTACCATACCTTACCATACCTTACCATACCTTACCATACCTTACCATACCTTACCATATCTTACCATACCTTACCTTACCTTACCATACCTTTCCATACCGTACCATACCTTGCCATACCATACCATACCATACCATACCATACATACATATTATGTATGTGTGAATAAATGTATTGATTCAGTGAAACAATGACCCCAGTACAACCACCTGTGCTCTGCTTGTTTGACGTCCTGCAAAAACTATGCAAACCCCAATACTTGGCAACTGATGTTGACAGTGCTTTGGTCTGCCAACTTTCCAATAGATTTAAGGCTGCACAACCCAGAACAGAGCAGCCTTCAACCTCCATCCCAGACTCGGGATGGTGAGCTGCCATTGCGCCACAGCTCCGGTTTGAAATCTTCTCTTTTCACTGACATTATGAACTGGCTTTGCCGGGAACTGTGGATCTGTTGCGGTTTGCCCCCGGCACCACCAGCTTACACCAGAAACATGGGCGGTGCTTTTTGCCCCCTGCCTGAAAGAGGTCCACGAAATCCATTTATTCAGTTTTCCTCACAAAAGGGAAAAATAAAACTATGAATGGAATTCCCCCTCCCCCAAGTCCATTTTAAGGGCATGGGGTTGTGTTTCAGGACAACGACCAAACCAAAAACTTTGGGAGGCCCAACAATTTTATGGCACGTACCCATCAGCTGCGTGCCTGCTGAACACAGTGCCAAATTATGCTATGATGTACGTCATGTGACGGCAATCTATGCAATCTTGTGGCGCTGCGAAGCAGAAGCAGCCCGCATGGCAACCCAACACTGTAAAAAAAAATTGTGGCCCTGCCCTAAACGTCCCATGTTCGCTCTGCCTGCCCTTCCGGTCCTCCTCGACCTCCGCCCCATGACCCCCGTAGATCAGGAGCCGGCGCCCGTATCGCTGGACCCCGAACCGCATCCGTGGGCGGGGCAAGAAAAGCGGCTCCCGGCGGCCCTCCACCTGCCAGAGTCGAATCCGCAGATCTACCCGCAACGTGACGCGCGACCCGCCACGCGCGATGCGTGACGCGCATGTGCAAACTGCGAGTTGGATCGGTTGCCTGGGTGGTCTCATGGCCGCGTCGCCACTTCATGGTCTTCAAGTTCAAAGAATGGGCCAACATCGAGGTGGGCGGCCCCCCGTGGAAGATCTCCAGATGATCCTCGCAGCCACCAACCACCACAAAGGCCTCACCGGCCTGGAGCGGCGATCGCGCAAAGCGTGGCTGTTCCAGCCCCTCAACGCCCTGAGCCGGGCACTTACCACCAGAAGCCCAGCCAAAGAATGGCGAAAAAGGCCAAGCAGCGGAAACCTGTGCGACACATGTCCATCGCCGGCAAAAGCCAAAAAGCCGATCCTGCTTCTCACATTTCCTTTCTTCAAAGTCTTCTGCCTGTTGACCAAAGGCGGGGACGGCGCGCCCGCCTCAGAGCTGAAGGTGCCGCCGCAGTGGAGAGATCGCCAGGTTGGCACCTGGGCGCGCACGAGGCGGACTCAGCAGGCAACACACACAAAAAAAAACAAACACCGTGAGGCATGCTGAAGTCTCTGGAAACCCGCTGGCTAGAGTTGCCCACATTTGGAGGGGGGGATTCTCAAAACAGCCTTGGCAACTTAGTGATCAAGCCTGAGCGCCCATTGAAGCAAGGGCAGTATCGATGCAACTTCTCAGTCGACCCCTGTACCTGAAGATGTCGTGTGGTCCGTGTGAAAGCCACATTTCCGGGCCGGGGGTCAACAAATTCAATTCAGCACTTGTTTCCCACCGAGCGCCTGCCCGTGCGTCTGAACGCGCTCCCAGCTGCGGGCATCCACATCCAGTAAATACACGTAGTTGGCATAGGACCGGTCCCCGATGAAGGTGAACTCGGGGTCGCGGACTGGGATGTCGCCACCGAAGACCACGACCTTCCTTGCGGATCAGCTCGCTAGGCGGCTCAACAGCCACGAACGAAAAAGCACGGCCTCGAAACAGACTCAGAAAGACAGAGAGAGGCAGAAGAGAGAGAGAGAGAGAGAGAGAAAAAGAGAGCAAGAGAGAGAGAGAGAAAGAAAGAGACAGAGAGAGAGGGGAGAGAGAAAGAGAGAGAGAAAAAAAAAGAGAAAGAGAAAGAAAGAAGAGAAAGAGAGAAAGAAAAAGAGAAAGAGAAAGAGAAAGAGAAAAAGAAAGAGAGAAAGAAAGAGAAAAAGAGACGGAGAAGAAGGAAAAATGAAATGAGATCAGAAGAAGGTACATGAGTTTTCACGTGTCTGCGCCCCCTGTGCAGCGAAGGCCTTCTCAGCTTGGAAAAAGGCTTTGTGACCTGTACTGTCACTCAGTTCATAGCCCAGCCGGGTTTGATGGCCTCTCAGAATGCCACCCGTCTGGACCTTGGTCACGATGTCTGCGTCATTCACCGTTTCGGGGTCTTCTCTGCATCGCTTTTGAGAACCACCTCCTTGTAGCCCAAGCCCTCTAAGAACCTGGTCATCATCTTCTGGGCTTTCTTCTCGATGGAGGTCAAACCAGTCTTCCCTTCGCGCGCCACAATGTTCGGCTTTGACCCCTCAGTCTCGCCCATATAGAAGTATTCAAGACTCACCGTGGACATGTTGGGGTCCTCATCTCCATGGTCCACCTTCACGTGTTTCTGGATAAGTCCTGCTGCCTTGATGCGCATCTCACACCAACTCCTCGCCTGCTGCGGCGGTCTCCATCTTGCGTGAGCAGGTCGAGCCTCCCAGCTCCTCCGGGCTTTCATGTGGAACCTTAACCTCACCTCCAGCGCCCAGACCGTGTTGCGCTCCTCCTTCACTCTTGCTGCCTTTGGCCTGAACATACTCTTCAGCCCCAGCAATCTGCTCCTCCGAGCTCTCATCACCTTCTAGTTCAAGGTAGAAGTTGTAGATGCCATTCTCCTCCACCACCGATATCATACCCTTGTCGTCGTACTCCTCAACTACTTGATCAAAGGCTTTGTCCATCCTCATACACGGGGCGATCCACCGGGAAGGTGATGCTTTCCACAGCCACGCGCTGTGTCCTCGTCCATGTAGCTTGCCAGCGCTGATGAGCACCTTGTGCACGTCGGTCGCGCTGCCGTTCACGATGCGCTTCACCCCGTTCATGTCGTAGCCTCCGATCTTCACCGGGCCGTAGTTGTTGATCAGCTCACCCGACGCCGTCTTGAACGTGCCATTTCCTTCTGCACGGTTGCTTGCATGTATTTCTTTGGAATTTCCGTCTTCTCCTTCTGGCTCATCTCCGGGCTGTTCCAAAGATGCCGCCTCTCTCTTTCCACCTTTTCCACCCTTTGCAGGCGCCAAGGCCGACGAAGCTCCTCCACCCTTACTTAGCCCAGCAATCCTTCTTCATATGTCCTTTCTTGCCACAATTGTTGCAAACGATGGTGCCCACGCCGCTCTTCAGCGTTATCTTGGACAGGATGTCGTCCCCCAGATTGCCCAGCACGCGGCTGGCGTTGGCCAGCTGGGGGCAGCGCAGGTAGACCTCGCTGTATGCCATCATGCGCACGAATTCGAAGACCTGCTGCCTTGCCGGCGCTCTGGCTGTTGCCCTCTTCTTCGCACCTCCGCCCTTGCCATTTTGCTGCGGCTTATACCAGCAATCTTTCTTCTTGTGACCTTTTTTCCTGCAATTGTTGCAGCTACCCTTGAACTTGGCCTTGCCGTTCTTGCCTCCACCTTTCTTGCCCTTTACGAGCGAAGCCAGGTTGCAGTTCACAGCCCTGACCAAGGAGCCCACATCCATCGGAGCCGCATCGAAGGCTGCTGACCAACTGAAGTCCTTCGAGATCATCAGCTTGCTCCCTGTCTTTGCCTCCATGTAACTCACCACCTCCAACTCCATTTCCTCGAATAGTTTAGCATGAGGTGTTGCAACCAATTTCTCTAATGCATTCATAGCGAGGCTGTCTCGAAACGTCTCGCGCTTCCCGAATTGATCTTTCTTGCGATCATAGCGGCTTCGCAGACGCTTCCAGCGTTCCAGGGCGCTGCCGAGGTTCTCGTACGAGTTTTTTTTGGGCTCGCAGACGACGCACCTACACAGGAGAATCAAGGTCTACGTGATCGGGCGCAGGCGGCGGAGCAGCAGGTGGCCATGGAGGATCAGGGGGCTCGGCGGGAGTGCTACAGGCATTGAGCCGACTGCCAGAGGTCTCCAGGAGAAGATGAGCAAAGGAGGCGGAGGCGGCTTGATAGACCAGAAGGGCCTTGGGAAGCGCAGGTGCTTGGAGATGGAGCTGAAGACTGGTTCCGGGTTTAGTGGCAGGCGTCATAGGCGGAAAGCCTCGGGAAGTGCTGGAATGGGCAGCAGAGCAGGAGAACAACATCACGCAGCCCAGTTTGGGTCGGCTGCTGCAGTTGTACACCATCCTCAGGGCCACAACCAAGGGCGCGGTCTTCGATTTGGTGGAGAATGCGCCAAAGGGCGCTGGGCTGGAGGCTTGGAGGGCGCTCCACCGGAAGTTTGACCCGGCCACGGGGGGGTGAAAGAGGATCATGCTCCAAGTGCAGCGGCGCCGTGAGCTCCTGCGTGGATGCCATCGTCCTCTTCAAGGAAGTAGCCAGACAGGGCTGCTTCTTGTCGGAAAACCGCGGGTAGAATACTAGCTCCGCGCAGGCCGACCCGCCGGGGCTCTACTTTTAATAGTTCCACGTTACGTTTACACAGGCGACCAACACACTAGATGCAAAGGAGGACAGACACTAAAAATCGCCACAAACGCATTGAACTTGCAACGCAACCCCTTCAAAAACTAAAAAGAAACGAGGCATTCGGAAAACGGCCCGCCCTCACCTTTGAACCTCCGGCCCCTTTCCCAAAAGTGTAGAAGCAGCCATTTTCAATTCAACCACACGTAGAAGGCCAATTTGGCCAATCCAAAGAGCAGCCGCCCCGGCTCTGCCGGGCTACGGCTTGGTAGAAGGCAAGAATGACAAAAGCCCAGGCTCCGCAAAGCCTTTTGGTCACACCACGAGTCACTCTACCGAGTGACGTTCCCAAAACAATGTGCATATCCCACTATTCAGCCACTCCAGACCTGTACCCTTGATGGTTCCTTGTTATTGCAAAACAAGCAACGGCCACTACAGCCAGTGACAGCTTCCCGCAGGAATGATTGTAAAAAAGCCGCTGAGTGGTCATTTTTCTAGTTGGGTGACACGTTAGAAGGGCTTAAAAGCGCTCAACCTGGATTCATGTAAACTAGTGTTCATTAGAGGGTGCGTTGCCTGTGGCTCAGCTCGCAACGACGGCTAGTTTGAGCCCCACCGGCTCAGTCAAGTGCATCGTGGCAAAGCACACAGACTTTGCGAGGGGCACTTTACTTGACTTGGCTTCTGAAGCCAAATTTCCTTGACTGAGCCGCTGACCAGACTGGATACACAGTTCCGAGGAGGGGGGGTGATTCCGAAGCATCCTTCGAGCGCTGGCAGGCCTGTACCCTCGTAGCCCTTATTTGGTTGGAATCCAAACAATCAGTTGGGGATGAGTTTTGGTTTGGTTTCCAGGAGTGTTAAGATCTCGTTCCTTTGAGCGGGGAAGCGGAGTAAGCCATGATGTTGGCAAACAGTCCAGCGAAGCCAGTGTTGCATGTTGGGCAGCACTCGTTGACCAAATTGTCCGCCGCCAGTCCCAGTTTACACAAACCTTTTTTGGGGGTCCTGAATAACTCAAACACTCACAAATGAGGCGACAAGTAGCGCTGAGCTATGCAAAACAAAGCCTCTTGAAAGGGTCACAGCACCGTCCTCTGGCTCAGCGGGACGGTTTTCCGAGACACAAGGCTCTCCCCTAGTGGCATCAGCTGCTTGCCCTTCTTCTGCATGTTGAACACAGCTGAATTCCTGGCAAGCGCGGCGAACGCCGGAGCAATCTGATGAGTGTCACGCTGGCAATCTGGCTCCTGAGAGATCCGATCGCTTTCATCACGCCGGCTTCCGCATCTTCCGGGAAGGAATACAGCTTCATATCCTCGCATAGTGCCGCTTCACGGCATCGTGAAGAGACGCACAAGCATCTCCAGCAGCTTGTTCTTGAATGTACTGCGCTATCTCGATGTAGTTTATTGGCAAGCCTCCTTCGGCCTGGCCTGTCGACTTGCCAAGTCCGGAAGCCACCATGTCCTGATGAGAAGAGGAGATGACCCCGCAACAAAAAACATTGGCAGAATGATGAAGGCTGGACTACAATTTTTGCGTTCAACACTGGTTCTTGGTCAGGCTCATAATGTTGTAATTCTGTGCTTCGCTGTCCCATCTGCAAATAAGTTGTCTTCGTGTGCAAGATGGGGGGGGCCCTACCTATCCAGCATCTTTTGGAAGGGGGCTCCCAACTATGTTCGCGTATCTTCCCTTCTTGTCACGAACCAGCATGTTCAAAGGTATCCATATTTGACTGGGCAACATAACGCTCGTTGCGCTAGGAAGGCTTCGACGGTTGGAAAATACGACATAGCATTGAAACCAGGTAGTCAACAACTGAAAAGCATGCGTGCTGTCACATCTGTCCGGAGGGCAATCCTGGCAGCAAATCAAGAACGCAGGCAGCTAAACTGGTGGAAGCCGCTGACTCTGACAGTCCCAGCCTCCACCGACATTTCTCCATGGTTCTGCAAAGGAATGTTTGACGTCATCGCGTCCAGCCACGATGGCACCTGTCAAGGCGCCAAGCTTTCTAAACGGCTCGCGCCCTACACCAAGCCAGAAAACTCCAACACACGGTCTGTCAGAGTGCATCCTGTGGGCAGGCTGCTTGCGCTAATGGCGCTTGCCTGAACGCCGCAGTCAAAGTGCCACAACATCATCGCATGAAGGGACACGGCTCGGCGGTGTCCTTTGACCCAACCTGCGAAACGCCGCGAGACAAAGCAAGCTCACACTGCTCAGGGCCATCGACAGACCCCAGAA